CCTCCGGGCTTTTCTGGTTCCGAGTTATCCATTTCCGCGCCAAAAACTTTCACAAGGCCGTACGTGACAATCACGCTTGCCTGGGGCTGATTTTGATAAATTTAAGCCGAACATGGGTTGGGAATATTTCCTGAAAATTTCAGCCTCCGGGCTTTTCTGTTTCCCGAGTTATCCATTTCCGCGCCAAAAACTTCCACGAGGCCGTACGTGACAATCACTCATAACCGGAGACTGAGTTTGATAAATTTAATCCGTACACGGGTTGGAAACATCCCCTGAAAATTTCAGCCTTCCAGCTTTCTTGGTTCCTGAGTTAGCCATTTTCGCGCCAAAAAAATTCACGAGGCCGTACATGATAATCACGGTTGCCTGGGAGCTGATTTTGTTAAATTTAAGTTGTACATGTACTGTGAACATTCCCTGAAAATTCAAGCCTCCCAGCTTCCTTGGTTCCCGAGCTGGCGATTTTCGCGCCAGGAACCCTCACGAGGCCATACGCGGGAACTAGGAATTTGAAATCTTTGAGTTCCTTGGAGACGGGAGCATAACCTCAAAATTTCAGCTTTCTAGCTTTTCTGGCTCCCGAATTAGCTATTTTCCTGCCAAAACTTTCACCCCCTCGTACGCCGGGCCCAGACTTGCGTGAGGGTTGATACCGCGGTCCTGAGGTGGCACTTGGCCGGGGAACCCACCAGCAAAATTTTGGCGCCGGAGCTTGCTTGGGTGCCGAGTTGAAATATCCGGACAGACGCACACACACACGCACACACATGCACATAAACACGAATACAACACACACACATACACACATACACACGCACATACCGGGATCATCACAATATGCGTTTTTGCATTTGCATATAAAGCAAAAACGCATAATCAGAGCGGGGCCATAAACGCGAACCTTTTCTTTTCATCAATTCTCTGAGAAACCATGTTACTGTATACTTAAATCCGTTTATATATACCGGCGGCATTTATGGAGGATGGTACCACTGAAGGACCAGGATCGACTCATATTATGAAACCCCTTCTTTCATCAATCCTTGTTTAAATTTAGTTGCTGTGCATTTAAAAGAGAATGGTACTATCAGGAAGTCGGGCTGGGAGCCAGATAGCAAGTTTCCTCTTGTCAATCCTGATGTAAACTATGTTACCGCCTACTTAAAATTATCCCTTCTCCCGTCATCCCTGATCGAAGTACTGCAAGTATGTTTCCAAACTACAGAAGCAGATATTACTAAATAAGTCTGTGGAGCAACTTGGTAACATTCAATTAAAGCCCTCGTTCCGCGGAAAATCGGAATACGGAATGACACTGGGAACATCGAAGCGTGGGAATATAATTTACGGTGGTTAGAAGGCCGAACTGTAGTCTTAAAAATAAAAAACAATTCTAAAAATCAAATGTCGGAACACGGAATATCAGTGCACAAAGCAGAACTTTCGATGTAATTTTACCTGCAGTTACAGACTTTTCAGTTTGAATGCGGCACCACAAGCCATTAATTCTACATTGCAAATGAAAAGCTATGCAGTCCACATTATGTGGCAAGATCAAAATTACATATATTAGCATCTATTTGAAGTTTAGATATCTTGTGGTTACGAAGAAGGTTGTAAAGTAAAAAGTAGAAGTAAAATTAGAAATAACCCAGATTGGAACGCACCAGGCGAGCCCGTGCGACCATATGCTTTTGCACCGGGCTTGAAGTATTCAGGTCATTAACTGCATGAATGGTTGTTGCTTTACACCTGCCTTTTGCGCTCACAAGCGTAAATCATCATAAATTTTGCATAAAGTAAATAAACCATTTCCATTTAACGGCTGTTCTTTGAAAGTAACTTAGCTGTTCAGT